AAGCGGTTTCAGAGGTATACCATTACCTTGCTAAAATTGAATCTATTTTTGATTTACGTTATGGACAAGATAATCCGAGAAAAAAGTGAAAAACACTGAAAAAGTGAAAAAGATAAAACTTGCATTTGTATAACTTAGTGGTCAGTTTTCAAAACTGAAACGAGTCAGAAAGGAGCTAAAAAAATTTAAAGTGCTCACAGTTTTGGGGAGACCGTCAAGCAGCTGATTTATCGTTTTCGAATAGACCAGACCAATATGGGCTTTACCAAGCAAGCGCCGTATTTTCTTAAAAAAATCATTATCGTACATTAAATTAGTAGATGTAATAGAAAAATTAACGCAAACCAGGCGACCGGTGTAAACACGCGCTTTTGCTATTAGCAATTTTCTAAGATTTTTAACATTACCTCAAATTTTAAACTATGATTATAGGAAAGGACAAAGAAATAAGAGGAAGCTGGTTTCATATTATCTGCACTGGCAACTGATTTCGTCAAAATTTCAACTTCTCATATCGCCCGAGATTTGGATCTGAAGTACGGTTCTGGCAGCACATGGCTGAAAGTTATGTCTTTTTGCCCATCGCATAACTCAGGCTGAATTATACAGACAAAAACACATAATTCTGCCGTAGTGTAGGTTTTACTGAATTATGCAACAAACGCATAAAAATCCATCAAAATATTTAAATAATGCACAAAGCAAATTCTGTGCTTCCGCACTTCGAAGAGAACTGTTATACCAACTCGGAAAGTACGATTTTTGGGTGCATTTTAACTGTGAAACCTGAAAGTTAAGAAAATCTATGAAAATACGATAAGTATATCGCACCTGTTGTATAGCTCGTTGCCCTGTTCCACACATAATCATGTACGATGTTAGATTGTGTAGCAGTGTAGCTAAAAGACGATCCTCGTCCAGTTCAAGGCGTCGCTTTTCGGATTCCGACAAACCACAGTACCTGTCAATCATTTCGCACGGTTCTTGATCCATACCCACAATATCTCTTTCTTGTGCGACGATATCGAAAAATGCGTTTTCCCAAAAGTCCATTTTTTGCCACAGCGGATTCTGCGAAGGCACTAAATACAATGCCTTAGGTATGAGCAATCGATCTAAAGAATTTTACACTGGAAAAACGGACTAAACTTGTGAGTACTGTATAATTTACATATGAGGTCTTGATATATGAAATGCCG